TAATCTAGTCCCAGCACACCTGAGGCAGCAAATTTGGCACCATGTAAATCTTGCCGTCTTTTCATTCTACAGGCTCAAATTCTGAAATCCTTCTGCCACTAAAATAATGTCCTACGGGCAGAGGTATCTCATACAATTGTTCAAGCAAAATGTAATCAATGAGCAATTTTTATTCTCATCGGAAAACCATAAATGCCAACATGTGAAACAACAGCAGGGTACTCACAACACTTTCTTATGGTAAGTCTCCATTATGCTTCTCCAAGATGGCAGATTTTCTGAGATTTCCATGCCAGAAAACATCTGATTAGAACTCAATTAAACTTTTATATGAAGAAACTATCTAAACAAAGGATGAATCAAAAAATTTGGGACAACTTTTACAAGATGTTTTTGCATAAGAAAACCATACATACCTTCCAAAGGCCACCGATTGAGGTGATCAGCTAAGGGACCAAAACAGAAACTTTCTTTACTGTCACCTGTTTTTCAACCAGTCACAAGTGTAAAATCTTAAATCATATATGTAAATCAGGAAGAAACAAAGCAAAGTAACTCTACTAAAATGGGTAGATCCAATTAATTAATGGGTCACAAACAGAGAATAGGAAAAGAATTCAAAATCACAAGCATAAAGATCCTGATCACTAAGCAAGGTAATTTTTTTGGTCTCCATGTAATTCCACTAGTATCTCACATCAAACTCGTTGACATGATCATTGAACAGGCAACTTAAGAAAAAAATAAGTAAAAAACAATAAGAAGAAAAAGAGAACTTTAATTAAAAAATACCTTTGGTATTTAAAGACGTATCGAGTTTTCCAGCATAGAGTGCTGTGTAACCTCTGCGATTATTCTCAGCCAATTTCATCTTCTCTTCAACTGGGAGTGAAAAAAACTTGCTACTCTGCTCAAAAACTTCCTTAAGCAATTCTTCCTCCACCCCATGATTCACAAGGTAAAAGAAACCATGGTCCATGCAAGCCTGTTGAGATACAAATATTATAGCCAATTCCGAGAGAAAGTTGAACCTCCTAATCCGAAAAGCAAATTTTATTGCTTTTGGAAGTACATAAATCTTCATACTTGCAAGGTTGTGCTGTTTCCAGCTTCCTAAACAGCATCTTTACAACAACAAATTTACAGAGCCAAACTGCAACTACTTAAGGATTGAACAAAGAGCAAAAGAAAAAACATTGTATTTAACATGCTAGAAGCAAAAGAAAGAAAACCTGACGGATAGAGTTGGCAGTTGAGATGCAATCTGGTGAGGACAAGTCAACAATGGGGAGTTGAAGAGCTTCAGACATTTTTTTTTTTTTGCGTTTCTTTTGCATTTGAACGGAGTTTTGGGGCTGTTCATATATATATATATATATATATATATGGGGTCCACAAAGCTTATCTTCAATTGTTGAGATTACTCTTTTGTTTTTTAAAGGAGGTATAAAGCAGAGAATAAAAATATTAAAAAAAGGTAAAATGATTGCATAGATTTTGATTAGAGATCTTCTTTTTATAAAATAAAGGGTAATTCTATATCATTATTTTATTTTATTTTATTTTGATTAATTAAGTTTTATATCCTTTCATAACATATTAGTTGTTAATTCTTATCCCGTTACTTTATCATTGATTTTTCTTTTTTAAAAAATATAAAAATGTAAATATTTATCATTAAATCAAATATTTAAATATATAAATATTTACATATAAAAAATTTAAAATATATATATAATAAAGTCGGAGGATTAAATAAAAATTTTTTTTTCTTTCTCATTAAAGCATGTACCGAATACTTCATCGATTTTGATTCCTCGACTAAACATTCTTTCTCTAAGCATGCAAAACCCTTTTTTTCTTTTTTTTAAGAAAAATAAAAAGATAGAAATGTTAGGTTACAGCTCGACGAACTGAGAACTATGGAAAGTGCTGCCCTGAGCTCACTTTTAGAAAAAAAACAAAAAAAACAAAAAAATATGGGTGATCCTTGATGAATTGATCCCCCTTCAATTATCAAAAAACTCGGTTTCATCATGATATCTAGACGACAACCATGGCCCATTGCTCCGCTTCTCTGAGTTTGTGATACATGCGAATACCATACCAGTATATGGCAGAGTTGGACCTCTCCCACGGAGGCTGTGAAACATGAGCAATATATCAAGCTATTAATATAAATCTATTAAGACAATAAAAAAAATGAATTTTCAACTACATCATTGTACCTTAATGTACAATTAAAGTATCAAATTAACATATCAAACTATATATTTGCATTATCACCATTGTATCTTTATTGTACAATACGAATGTCATATCAAATATTTTAAATATTTATTTATACCATTATACTTTAATGTATAATAAGAATACCATATATGCCCACACCTAATAGTTTATTTATTTCTCTAAACACTACAAAATGATTCTCATCTTAAGCCAACCAACTAAATCCATCGTGACAGTGAAATAAAACGAATTTTCAATTAACACTATTAAAGCTTAATGTACAATCAGAATATCAAATTAACACGTCAATTTATATCTTCACACAAACACCATTGTGCCTTTATTACATAATAGGAATGCCATAAAAAATATATTAAATATCTATTTTTCACTATTATACCTTTGAAGGTAAAATAAGAATGTATCACATAACAAGATATTAGATTTACAAATCAGCACCATTATTCCTTAATACATAATAGGAATACCACAATGCCCACACCTTATAGT